CCGACGGAGTGGCATTGGTGCCAAGTTGCATGTTTGAACATGAGCTTAGCGCGGGCACTTTAGTGCAGCCTTTTGATATTCTGTAACGTTGGGGGCTATTGGCTCAGCCGTTTTGAAATTCTAAGCCATAATACAACCTGCAATGGACATATTTCGTAAGTGGTGGTGGATTGAATCTATAGCAGGGATAACGTCCAATATTTGATGGCAGCCGGCATAATCAATTGCATATTTAGTACTTCATAACTGAAAATTTTAAAAAAACATGATTCACTACAAAGTAAGCTTCTTTCTGAGAATGCTGTTTCTTTTTGAACCTTATTGGACTTCATGATATCAAAAGAAGTCGGTCGGAATATTGAATACATGATAATGTAGAAGGTTCATGAATATTTAACCCAGAACCATTTCATAAACGTGATGACTGCTGTTGGCTAAATGCCCTAATAATAAACGTTAACTCTTTACACTCATGCCATGAGTTTCCTCTTAAAGTTCTTATTTTAAATCCGACAGATTGACACTTTCGCTCATAAATCCTCTAAAGTTAATTTTAATAATGCAACATAGTTAAATATTTCTAAGTGTCATTAATTTTTGTTTATATCTTAATTTGTGGTTCGCTAAGTTGGAAAAAAGACTGAATATCAACATTAAAGGTAGTTTGCGTATGGAAATAATCGGTCTAAAGTTTATCTTATTTATTCCTCGTCATCAGACTGTTGTGTTGCACTTAACCTATCTTACAAATAATAGAAAAGGTATTCCTAACCTTTATCGATGAGAAAAATTTGGTATCCAATCGACTTGGGTTTAAGATAAACGTTTGACATATGATCCCCTTTATAAAATTAATCATAAACAGCAGGGCTACATTTTTACAAAAAATCTCTAAATATTAATATATAGATGATTTATAAAAAAGCATGTGTTTAAATCAATGTATTATATTATTATCAATAAATCGCATTATTAGTCATGTAAAGAAAATCTATTTGTGAATATCAATATATGTTCATGTAAATCATGGATAATAATTATCATTACTCATATCGAATATTGACAGTCGCTATACTATTTGCACTTCCTGGGGTTATTTGGCTAGCTGTTTTGATATATCTAGCTTTCCAATTAAAAATGTAGTCTCCACCTGCAACATTATTTTGTAAAGTAAATTTTGAATTTAGCTTTATAGGATCATTATTTCTATCCAATAGCTGAATCGCAACACCTGTTGCTTGCCCTTGGCCTGATAGTTTTATTTTTCCTGTATTAATATCTATATAGCCAGCACTACTTGTGACCGTCACTTTTAGATTAGTACCCGCAGCACAGCTTAATGTAATAGGTATATTGACACTATTGCTGGTAGAGCCAATAGCATTAAATTGGGTATCATACCAAGTGCCTAAATTAACATTATAACTACTCGCTTTTGTTGTACACATTAAGACGTTAATCCTGATCGCATTTGCTGGAATATTCAGTGATGTTAGGTTCCATGTACTGTTATGTGGTGCGGGGTTACGTTGTGTTAGCCTTCCCACATGGCCTGCCTTTAAATTTCCACCTTGTGTGACTTGCCCTGTTTTTTTGATGGTGATGGTCCAATATGGGTTAGGAATACCCCAAGCAGAG